TATTTACCGTAGGAAATTTAAAACACTTGCATTTATTATCTTAACTGGCATTTTTAGTTGATTTTATTCTGTTACATTTTATACTGTCTCATTTTGGTTTGTTTTTAGATTTTCCTTTATAGAGCATAATTTTTTTGGCTTTGTTCTCTATAATGATTTGGAAGGCATGTATCTCTGCTTTTTTCTCCCCCAAACATAACAGAGACAAAAATTATTTATGTCACATTATGACCATTTTTTAACATTTTGAAATAATCACATATTTATAGAAACAAAATTTAGAAATAGATTTTTATAAGTACAGTTCAAAGAACTATTCCCTGAACTACTTGAGAATAAGTTGCCAACATGACGTTGCCTTATCTCATCCCCAAAACTTTCAAGTGTGTATTTTGAGGACAAGCAAGGACATTATCCTATATTACCACAATACTACCACCAAATTCAGGAAGTAACATTGGTAAATGACTACTGTCTAATCCTCAGTCTCTGTTTAAGTTTTACCAGTTGTACCAATAGTGTTCTTCAGAGCAAAAGGATCCAGTCCAGACTCTCCTATTGCACTTCATTTCATTACCTCTTTAGTCTCCTCCAATCTGGAAGAGTTTCTCAGTTTTTACTTTGGTGACCTTGGCCCTCTTGAAGATTGGAGACCAGTTATTTTATAGAACTTCCTTCAATATGGGTTTGCCTAATATTTCCTCGTGATTAGATTCAGCTTATGCATCTTTGGCAGAAATTGCCACTAATGTGATGCTGTTCTTCTAATTCATTTTTTTACTTTGCACATGATTTTGATCTACCCCAGTACTTTGATCACTTTGATCACTGGTATCTGTCAGGCTTCTCCAATATAAAATTATTCTTTTTCCCTTGGTAATGAATTTTGTGGGGATATGCTTTGAAACTATGAAAATATCTTGTTCCCCATCAAACTATTTATGTTAATAGGGACTTACGGATTTTATTTTGGTTTTTAACAACTTTATTGAGGCATAATTTATATACCATAACATTCACCCATTGTAAATGTATAATTTAATGATTTTTAGTAAATTTACAGAGTTGTGCAACCATTACTACCATCCAGTTTTAGAACATTTCTATCATCCTAAAAAATTCCCTCCTTCCCCTTGGTAGTTAATCCCCTTTGCATCCTCAGCCCTAGGCAACCATTGTCTGCTTTCTATATAAATGTGTCATTTTGCGTATGTCATATAGGTGGAATCATTCAATCTGTTACAATCTGTTATCATTTGAGTCCGGCATCTTATACTTAGCATAATGTTTTTGAGGTTCATCTATGTTATACCACATATTAGTTCCTTTTTGTTGCTGAGTAATATTTGATTGTATGGATATATCACATTTTATCTATTCACCATTTGGTGGATGTTAGGGTTTTGAGTTTGTGGCTGTTGTGATAGTGCTGCTGTTAACATTTATTCACATGCAAGTCTGTGTGTGGTTATATGTTTTCATTTCTCTTGGGTAGATTTGTAGGAGTGCAATTGCTGGGCCATATGGTAAGTTTATATTTAACTTTTTATTTTTTATTTCTTTAGAGATGGAGTCTTATCATATTGCACAGGCTAGACTCAAACTCCTGAGCTCAAGTGATCCTCCTACCTCAGCCTCCCAAGTAGCTAGGACTACAGGCATGCCCACTGTGCCTGAATAATTTTTAAATTTTTTGTAGAAACAGAATCTCCCTAAGTTGCCCAGGTTGGTCTCAAACTTCTGGCCTCGAACAATTCTCCAGCCTCAGCCTCCCAAAGTGCTCAGATTACATGCGTGAGCCACCACGTCCGGCCCAGTATAAGCAATTTTATCTCATCTACCGACCCTACTGGTATTGTTTTGTGCCTCTTTGCATTCTTTAGCTTTTATGATAGCTGATTTTATGCTATTATTTTTTTTTTCCTTCCTTGTAACTGGATGGTATGACAGTAAATTTATGACTCCTATGCCTTATCTTTTTGGCTGAGGAGATAATTTGCTTCATCAGTGTGTGCTTTTAGAATTCAGGAAATTTTTCACTGGAGCAGATGGTGGTAAAATCAAAATGCTTGGCTGTGGGCCAAAAAGTATCTCATATATGTATACATATATGTATGTATAACTTAACCAATGGGGGCTTTGTAATCCTGATGTTAAGTAGCTTGTGCTTATATAATTTCTCGAGCTTTCTTTTGGTTGAATGATTTCCTTCTACTTATCTTATGCTTAAAGTATAACAACTTATACTTTATAAAAATGCCTTGTTTGAGGACTGAGTGATTTGTTTTTCCTGGCTAGTAACAATCCATCCCATTGGGTTGGCTCTTATTTCTTTGTCCTTTATCTTCTTTTTAGCAGTTTTACCTTCTTCTGCATTTTTCTGTACCTTTTGGGAGAGCTCCTAAGTATGTCATCTTTTCTCATCACTGATTCAGTGTTTTGCACTGTCACATATCTCCTTCTGGCCTCATAGTGCATGGGTTTAATTTTCTGTGTATAACCATGGGCATTACCATAGCTTTTTCTTTTACCTTTTGCTGCATCCGTGTTTCTACTTACATCTTTCCTTCACAAACTGCCCCAATTACAATATAGTACAGTGTTTTAAATTAAAACCCACCTCTGAATTTTGACCATGAGCAAGGGAGAAAAAAAGCCAAGCACAGCAGTTATCATATGGTCTGACTTTCTCTTCCTTGTTTAGACTTAGAATTACTTTGGGTCTATTGAAGACTTTTCCTCGATGGTGCACTTCCCAAACATACAGCCTATGAACCACTAGTGGTGTGTGTATTGTTCTTTTTGGTCCTTTGATATAGACCTGGGGATGTTCTAGTCACAGGGAAAAGAAAGGAGTCTGCTCTTGAACCCTGCTGCTCTCTCAGGAGGTGGAGCTTATTAATCACTGCCAAAAAGTTTAGGCAAATTTTAAAGTTGAATATAAGATGACTCCTGATTTTTTTTTAAAATTAACCTGCCTGTTGAAAATAGTTTTGAGAGAGAGATTTGATTTTGGTTAAACCAAAAATTAGGTATCGATGCTGAGGCTTGTCTTTGCATAGAATGTGTTTTTAATATTTTTTTATATGCATTTCTGCATAGATTTATTCTTGGTCACTTATGTGAAGTGTCTAAATTTTAATCATCAAATGTACCTGTTAAAATAACTCTGGAAAAGTTAGTGTTGTTAAAGAGAAGCTATCATTTGCTTCTGTAAGCTAGCAACCGCTAGCAACTCAAGAAATATAAGCAGTTGACCTAGTGCAGTGGCTCATGCCTGTAATCCTAGCACTCTGGGAGGCCAAGGTGGGAGGACCGTTTAAGGTCAGGGGTTCGAGACCAGCCTGAGCAAGAGTGAGACACCATCTCTACTAAAAATAGGAAAAATTAGCTAGGTGTCGTGTTGCATGCCTATAGTCCAGCTACTCAGGAGGCTGAGGCAGCAGGGTTGCTTGAGTCCAGGAGTTGGAGGTTGCAGTGAGCTGTGATGATGCCGTTGCACTCTAGCCTGGGTGACAGAGCAAGACTGTCTCAAAAAGAAAGAAAAAGAAATATAAGAAATTATCTTGAAATATGTACAATAATGGGTTTTATTTAAATAGCTTGGATTTTTTCAATACCATCTGTTATAAAAGGTTGTTTTTGTTATTTGTTTATTTTTATACAGA